GCCTTTATTGCCTTCTTATTGGTTAAACAACTCTTAATTCTATTACTACTTTTCCTCGTTTTGTGATTACCACTTTATATCCGTATTCGAAGTCGATGAACCAGTGCTTATTTAATGTAGACGATAGGAAATCAAAATAATGTAATAATTTCCGTTGAGACAGAAATCCGCGTCCCTTAATTCGAGTGTACGTCTTCATCGACAGAGAAGACAGATCTCAAGGCTATTACATTTCCATCCGTTTCAATTATATACGATACTTTTTTTGTACGCTATCTAGCAGTATTAATAGTTGCGGCTTTAACGGCGGCGTCTTATTAAACCTCGACCTTGTGTCACTTCCTGTTGCGACGGGGTCACCCTGGAAAATAATATAATACGTCTTATCGTTGCTTGTTCAAAAAGAACTACAAACTACCTTCAAATGCTTATCCAATTTATACCTGTAGATACGGTACGATGGAGTAACGGATTGTGGCTCGGATTGAGGAATCGGAGAGTCGAGTTCGAATTCCGGTCACGTTCATTACATCCACTTACTCTGCCCTTCGACATAACCGCGTCTGGGTTCCTCTCTCTACGAAGACAGAGAGTTCGACAAACACTAAGAGTTTAGCGCGCGGCTAAGACCTAATGGTAACTAGGCTCATCTTTATTTATATAAATGGACGATTCCATTCATTTATATCCTGTATGACACCATTGTAGTCCCTAGCAATCTTTATCTTTTTATTAACCCTCTTAATCCCTGTACTGCCATCTTTGTACACAAGCTCGCCAGGTAGATGTACTTGTGGTTTTCCTCAGCCTTCAATATATCCTTGGGGGTGTCAAATTCTCCAAGCCCTCTTTTATGCCCTAATAAATTCAAGTCTCTCTTTCTGATGTTAGCTATAAGTGTTCTTTTTGTAATCAGCTTCTTTCAAACTTTCACAAGAGGGGCTGAAGGAAAGCACAAGTACCGCTACCCGACGAGCTTGTGTATATGCTTGACAGCACAGGGATTGGGAGAGTTAATAAAAAGGCAAGCACGGCTAAGGGCTACAAAGGACATGAAGTTGTAGAGATTATTTGCCCATAGTATTTTGATGCCCCAGGTCTCTTCTTCATTTGTGTGGTCATTGTCCAGCACACTCACCGTCATATGGGGGATTGATATTAAATAAAAGTTGAGCATTTTTTTTCTTTGTTTCTAATGAAATTTTCATTTCTGAAAACTGGTGCTTTTTGTTTTTTTATATAATTTTTCTTTTCTTTTTTTTTTTTTTTTAAAGATCTCTCTCTCTCTCTCCCTCTCCCTCTCTCCCTCTCTCTCTCTCCCTCTCTCTCTCTCTCTCTCTCTCTCTATTCCAATACGCCTTCCGTAACATATTTTCTGTCATCTGTCATCACTCTTTCCAGAGAGTTAAATTTTTGTTAGCTTAAAGAAAACTGACTTTCGACCAGTGACCATTTTTAAAATGGCGTCAGGAGACGTGTGTCTTTTAACGTCTTTTCGCGAAGAAAAACAGCTGTCATTAGTGATTTTCAATCCTTAGCCTGGGTTTGAATTTTTCTTGAAGTCTGATATAATGGCAATACTTCCCGCCGAGATTTGTCGTTTTTTTTTTTTTCTTTGATTGTGCAGAGAAGTATTTCACATTCATACGAAAGGACTTTGACGTTGTTCTTGGATGAAACGTGCCAAGAGATTGCTTTGAAGGTCATTGCATTCTGAATCGGCAAATCTGAAAGAAAAGAGTTCAAGATAACCAAGCTTTAAATTAAATCAATTATTCATGGAAGACGGGGATTTGCTTCGATTCTAAAGCATTTCTTTTTATTGTTAATGTATTTTCCTCCTCGGGGAGTTTCGATTATTTAAATATACCAGGCAGTCGCATAATTTGTGGGGACAAGTTTTTTTTTTGTTGTTTTTTCTATTTTTATAGTTCAGGGTCTATTATTTAACGATCAGTCAGCGCGTTTTTATAGAATCCATTAGATTAAAACAAACATTTCAAAAATATTTTCTGAAAAAAATTCCCTATTTTTATGAATTTATATAGCCATTATTCAGTTATCAAAACTTTTTCCCTAGTTTTGTATGAGCTTATGCCAGCATTCAGTTAAAATGTGTATGTTGTCAGAGTAATTCATTGCAGAGGTTCCGAGAACTTTTTTGACAAAATATTTAATTTATATAAATTCATAGCCTCATTTTTTCTGTATCTTTTTTTTTTATTCATATAAATTTATATATCCTTTATTCAATCATAAAAGTATTTTCCCTGATTTCTTATGGCCTTATGTCAAACTTCATCTAGATTGTCAAATAAGGTCTTTGCATAAGTTTCCAGGATATTTTGACAAAAGTATTTTATGCACATAAATTCTTATCTTCATTATTCAGTCATTAAAGTATTTTCTCTGGCTTCCCATGGCCTTATGCCAGCTTTCAGTTAGATTGTCTATTTTATCATATAAGCTCCTTGCAAAAGTTTCCAGCATATTTTGACAAAAGTATTTTATGTACATAAATTCATATATTCATTATTCAGTCATTAAAGTATTTTTGGCTTCCCATGTCCTTATGTCAACCTTCAGCTAGATTGTGTGTTTCATTGGATAAGCTCTTTGCACAAGTTTTCAGCACTTTTTTTGACAAAAAAATCTTTTATTTAAACACATGCATAGCCTCATTATTCAGTTGGCGAAGCTTTCCCATTAAAAAAAAAAAGTTAAGAATTTATCTTCCCCCAGTTACGGGTTAAATAATAAGGCAGTTCTCTTGCCTTGGGTGACAGTCAGTGAAGAAAGAAAAACTCTGAATTCAAAGCCCTGCAGCCTTGTTGGATGATGTTCTACGTCACCTTCCGGCAACCCCTGCAGCTGAGCCTATACCAAAAATGTATTTGTTTAAATTTTCCTAACGACCAAGCATTAACAACAGAGGGATTTCGACGTGCAGGCAGCCTTCGAATTTACACAGCACAAGCTTTGTTTCCATTAGTGAATGTTCTCCCCATCAAAAGCATTTTTGCAGCGATCGAAAAAGAAAATAATTGGTTGGTGCAAGTCAGGTGAATATAGTGGGCGGGTTAGAACAGACCACCTGTATTGCAAATTTTTTTTTCCGTTGTTATTTTTGCTGTATGCAGCCTTTCATTGTCATGTAGGAAGCCATTTTTTTTTTTTTTACTTTAATCCACGTTGTACGCTGCTACTGTCATGCCAAAACTAAGATATGCTAACGTGCTCCAAATGTGTACTTAATTGCCACGTATGATCAGGAGTTAGGATGCTACATTCGTAATTCAGTTAATTGTCACACAAAAGGACCTCCAATCGGTTGTGAACTGGGGCAGGAATTGGCTGGTCAACTTTAATGCTTCAAAAACAAAACGGCTCCCCATTAATCACCACAGAGATACTTCCCTGCCCTCTATTAGAATGTCTGACGCTCAACTTTTCGAGAGCAACTCTCTGCGGCTGCTCGGTCCCACGTTGACCGCTGACCTTAGATGGAACAAATACATTCAGTCAATTGCTTTGTCCACCGCAAGGAAAGTTGGCTCCCTGTGCCGCGCCAGGAAATTTTTCTCCCCGGAATCGATCTTCCAGATCTACAAATCAACAATTCGCCCTTGCAAGGAGTATTGCTGCCATATATGGTCTGCAGCCCCTTCTGTTTGCCTCGGGGTTCTTGATAGGCTCCAGAGGCGGATATGCAATATAATTGGCCCTGTTCTGGCATCTCGTCTACAGTCACTTTCTCACAGACGCGCCGTCGCCTCTCTCTGTCTTTTTTACAAATACTTTCATGGTAATTGCTCCGAGGAGCTGCATTCGCTGGTTCCCAGACTTCATGAATTCAAGCGCCCTACGAGGCTGGCATCCCGCTCTCACCCTTTCACTGTCGAAACTACTAAATGTAGCCATCTCTTCTACTCCAATAGCTTCATGTCTCGCACCTCTCGCCTGTGGAACTCCCTTCCCTATTCCAGTTTCCCTGAGAGCTATAATCTCCAACTATTCAAATGTAATGTCAATCGACATCTCCAGTTGCCTTGATCTATCCACTATCCTTCTCCTCATCCTTTCCTCTATCACTCCTATCTGATCTTGCTCCAAATCTTCTGTAACCCCTTGCGTCCTAGTGGCTTCCCGCCTTGCTTGGGGTGAAACGCTTAAAAAAAAAAAAAAAATTATCCATTCTCGAATAGAAAATGTTTCCGCAGTTCTCAACAAAAAAGTCAATGAAATCAGTCTATCCTCCTATAGGTGGGAGCGGGGAGAAGAGATGTGTTTATACATTAATTTGGGGTATTTAAACCGTTTTGAATATAACACCTTACTGAATTTCGAACTCAAACACGCCGACTTTCTTTCAAGTGAACTGTTATACATTAGCCTACACCACCCAGCCGCAAGTGATCAAACAAAAAGGTAATTACTTATGACACAACCTACTATTATAGACAAAGTGTAACACGAGTTCTCTAACCTTTTTTTTCCTAATGGAACAAATTAGAAATTTAGGTATATTTAAAAAGTTCAAAGCGTTGTGAATATCAAATTTTAATAACAAATATATATATATAACTACCTTTTCTATTTCTTGAAAATGTTGTTCAGGAAATTGAGATTTTTTACAAATCTATGCATATTCTCATTATTTTTGACTTTCTCTTCTGCCGTTTGAATTGGGTTTTCATTTGAACAACTAAATTATTTTCACTGCATTAATTGGTTCTTTGATTTGACTGCAATCTGGTCCATCTGTGTTCCATTCATTTACTCGAAGCCATATGCGATAATTCATCAATAAATGTTTGAAAACAAAAAATTGATTTCTGCATTCCAAAAAGTTTAAATTGTTTTAATAATTTTTTTCAAAGTTCAACGATTTTTCTTCTGTTTCTATGAAAAAAATATAAGTAAGATAAATAGATAGAATAATACAGACAGACATGAAAAATAGAGATTTGATATGAAAAATTAGATAAATATTAAAACATTTAAATAGGTTTATATAAAAAAAAAGATAGATAGATAGATAATAGATAGATAGATAGAAAAATTAATATCCTTAACGGACAGGATAGATATCCAAAACAAGAATTTTGATAATGAAAAAAAAACAGAATTAGATAAATTTTAATAATAGATAGATAGATAGATAGATAGATAATTTTTAAAATCCAAAATATTGATAGGCTATGAATATAAAAAACTGTTAGATTGATAGATAGATAAGATAGATAGAAAATTATGTGAAAAACAAATAGATAGATAGATAGATAGATAGAAAGATAGATAGATAGATAATAGATAGATATGAAAAGCCAGAGATAGAAAAGATATTCTAAACAACATAGATTATAGATAGATAGATGGTTGAAAGATAGATGTGAGATAGATATGATATGAAAAGAGAGATATCCAGGATAAAAAACAAGGTAGATAGATAATAATAATGATTTTAGATAGATAGATAGATAGATAATGAAAGACTAGAGATAGATAGATAATGAATAGATAGATTCAGATAGATAGATATGAAAAAAAATAGATAATAATAATTGAAATAATAACATAGATAGATGAATAGATAGATAGGATAGATAGATAGATAAATAAAGAAAAAAATATTAGATTGATAAATTGAATATTAAAAACCATTGAATAGATAGGAAAAAACAAGAATAGATAAATAGATAGATAGATAGATAGATAGATAGATAGATAAATAGATAAAGATAGATAAAAAATGCTAGATAGATAGATAGATAGATAGATTTTTCATGAAAAACCAGAAATAGATAGGAAAACAAGATAGATAGATAGATAGATAGATAGATAGATAGATAGATAGATAGATAGATATGAAAAAACATAGATAGATAGATAGATAGATAGATAGATATGAAAAACCAGAAATAGATAGGAAAACAAGATAGATAGATAGATAGATAGATAGATAGATAGATAGATAGATAGATAGATAGATGTAAGTAGGCGTATGTAGCTCATTTTTCCACTCAAAATTTGTTATCTCAAATAATGCTCAAAAGAAAAGAATTCTCCTTGCCAAAGTTCCAGGATGATCGTAAACGAATAGATTTTTAAAAAAATCAGGAAATCAAATTAAAACTTTTGAAACGATAGAAAAGATCAAAACTTAAACAATCAGAGTCCAAAACCCTTCGATGGTGGCAAGGGTTAAATATGTTAACCAAAAGTAGGTGAAATGGGGAGGCAAAAATGAAATGTGACAATGAATTAACTTTAATTAAAACTGCGACGAAGCGAGCAAGAGAGTCTCGTTTATGTTTTTCGGGTCGAACTACCTAATGACCGAAGTTCTTGCGAAAATTAAACATCTGAAATCTTTTTTTAAGAAAGAAGAATCTTTGAGCCAAATAATATCTGAGGCTAAAAGTTAATCTTTATTCTTTGGCAATACAAAGTTGGTTGTTTTTTGTTTTGTTTTTTGTTTTTTTATTTATTTATTTTTTTTTTTATTTTTTCAGAAAGAAAAAGCATGTTAAAAAAATGATTGCTCTGAATGAGTAAATGAAGTGACGCGAAATATTTGCTAGTTTCTCCGACTCTTATTTGCTTTTTCTAGAACGACACGGAAGAATGTAACAACGAAGACATATTTAAGGGCTTTTGATGCTTCATTATGGCCGTATTGATGGATTTATTTTCTGTAGGGAAAAATATTCGAAACACTTTGAGATTTCGGAGGCACTTTTTGGCATGAAACGGAGAGATTTTACGTAATATGATAAAGAAAAATTTTCTCCTAAACCAAGGCGCAAAAGAAAGAAAGAATTATAAAGAAAAATAAAGGGTAAAAAAAGAAAGAAAATTCAAAAAAAGAAAGAAAAGAAAGAACGACTATGATA